GTTGAAAGTAAAAAAAAAAATATTTTAGTTTTAATTATCTTTTTAGTCTGGAGGGTAACACTGCTAGCTTAAATTTCCTATAACCGCTATAGCTATGGCAACTTCTGCAGATCACTACTTCTTTTACCAGAAAAAAAAAACAACTAAAAAACTATGTATAGTCAGTCTATAACAAACCAACACATTCAACAACAAAAAGTGCCCTTTGCATAAAAAAAAAAAAGAAAGAAAAAGTGAGGTTTAATTAGCATGCAATGCCCCTACTCACCGACTTGCTGTCTTAGCGATGGTCCGTTAGGACTGCGGTCTGTCCGTTGCTCCGTTGCCGGACCGATCTGAGAGGCAGGCGGTGTGGATGGAGCTGCAGGACTGTGCAAGGGGAAAACGAAGCTGCAGCACACCGACTTCTTTTTTTTTCTGCTTCTCTCTTGGAGAAAAACTCCTCCTCTTTTCGCACAAACGCCCCCTCCACACACTCACAAAAAAAAAAACTAACGGCTGCGCTGTGACGTCAGCTGTCGGTGGCGGGAGCGGGGGATGGTCGACTGGGAACGCCGAAAAGAGGTCCGCTTCGAAAATCCTCACGCGACCTGATTTTTCCCCCCACTTTGTTTCTCTCTATAATCCTCCTCTGCTGGTACCTAAAACCTGAACAGGTATGTATGATCAAGCTCCCGGATGTCACGGGTCGGTTTCTACTAGTTTATCCAGCTGAACTAAACAGCAACCTCAGCCTGGAGCAACCGGCAGCTGCAGTATGGTAGACACAGCCACACGGAGCAGACTTCAGCTAGGAGCTGCTCTAGCACAGAGAGGGAGGGAGGGAGGGAGGGAGGGGTGTGAGGAGTCCACACAAACAATAACCCCAGGATGAGAGGGAGGGGTTTAAATAAGGGGAGGAGCTAAATAAAGAGGGAGGAGCTAGTCCAGCAGTTGCCTCTAAAATGTCCTATAAACTGACTCAGACACTTGTGGTATTATTAGGTTGTATGTACTACATTACACACCTGTGGCTGTGATTCACTGTTCTTGGGTGATTTCCCAAGATCTGAATGGCTTTTGAGAGATATGAGTTTTTTTGTTTTTTTTTTGTCAAGGTCATTTTTTTCTCAAAACAATCTACGCTTGAGAATACCTCTGATTTTCATGGAAAATGAGGTGAAAGTCCTTCTTTTTTTTTTTTTTTTTGGAGCTGAGTAAGCAGATAATTAAGTCTGCTCACTCCGAACTGATGGAGGAGCACACTAGAGCCGGAGTAAAAAATAATGATTTTTGAGTCAAAGCCTTGAAAATGTTAGGTCATGGATGTTTTTAGGTCTCTCTCATGAGACAGTGACAACATGTCAGCCATTTTGTTGACTCACTTTCACACAAAGAAGTGCTGTAGTTCCACAGGCGGCCAGCAGAGGGTAGGCAGTGGTGATCCTCTGATCACAAGCATGAAAAATAGCTTCAGTTGGTGAACATCTATTGTGAGGTGTCTCTTAGCTACTCTATTTTACATATTCATACAAAAAAGAAACTCAGTCTCCCCTCTCCCTTGGCTGATTACTTCTCCCTCCCGTGCACATTGATGGAGACCAGCCCAGACAAGATCTGTGATGTTAGTCTGATATGAAAAATGCTTTCAAAATGCACGAGGCTCCGAAGCAATCAACAAATCCAGCTAGGGTGCACTGCAACACATTGCTGCTAAAGTTACAGAGCAATGAAAAGTGTGTAGCTTGTGTCATGTGCAAGGTTTATTTTTTTGTGCGTCAAGTTCAGTAATGTTAAGGAAAATCCTCAACATTAAATCCTCCTTTTTTTTTAATTTATTTATTTATTTATTTTTTACAGAATACAAGCTGCCTCTATTCTGCCAACCATATCAGCAAATTGTTCATGTTTGATTTTTTTTTTTAAATTCCAGTTATGTACAAAAAGTCCAATATTCCTGTTTATTACTTAAGGGTTTTTTTTTTTTTTTTACTGAGGAATGCTCATCTGAATACATTTTTTACGAGTTGTATTTTTACATGTTTCATCTAAAAAATTTGTCTCGCTGTATCTTTTGATGAGGTTCTTGGTCTCTTTTTGAAAATTTATTTAATGAACTGTCATAACTCTTTTAACCAGCGGAGGGCACTAGAGCACATAAAAAAAAAGCTAATTGGATATCACTAAAAAAGGAATAGGTAGACGTTGATGCTCAAATCCTGTGAATGAATCATGCAGCCAACAAAAAATTATTTCCTGTGGCAAAAGTTTGGAAACCCCTTGACCGCATGCATTGTTTTCCCTTTTTGGTGTAAGGTGGAGGGAGGATTGTAATTGGGGAAGATATTTCACTCAATTCCTTATTTTGTACTGATCAACCTTTTAATTCTATTCATATAACAAGGATTCAGCTGCTCAGTCTTTATCGCCGCATAAAGTGGTATAAAGAAAAAAAAAGGGCTTGCAGCAGGTTGATTACAGCTCACAATCTGCTCTTATTTGATGGGATCTATACTGGGATTCCTTAATTTTGTTTGGAAGATTCCAGAAATCACAGGTAAGTACATTATAACTACATTTTATTACGAAATACAAGCATCTCTTTTTATAGCACAGGTTCCATTTTCAACTCTTATGGAAAAAAAAAAAAAAATCAGACACAAAAGCAAAAAAAAAGTTATATGATCATTAAGAGAAATGGAATTTTACTTAATTTCACTTTTAAATTATATTTTTTTTTTAAGGTATTGAACCAAAAAGACAAATATGAAACTCGCTCTGTTTACTAATCTTTTAAAAAATGATTTAGAAATCTTTAAAAAAAAAAAAAGAATCTGCGCTGTACGTCAGTAGTAGATCTGAGGTCATTTAATGCATCAGGTTCATCAGCAGCAGATTTAGCAACTTCACAACCAACAATAAATATCACGCAGTGTCAGAAACTTGATGGACAACACTTTCAGTGTGACTGCCAGGATTGCTTCCATCTGCATCTTTTAAATTCTTAATTTTCCTCTTTTAAAACCCCATTTAAAAGAGTTTTCCTTCCAGCACTTGCTGGGTATCTCTACTGGCAATGAGTTCTAACCCCCTGTCATATTACTTTGAAATACAACTTCTAATTTTACAGGTCAATTTTGAATTCATGCAAAAACACAGAAGAAAGCAAAAGCAGCAGCTATGCCACACCATAAAATGTTTTTAAAAAGGACAAAGGTTTGTATTTGGAATTCAAGACTTGTGGCATTGAAAAAGAAAATACATTGGTTTCATCTCATGCTACTTCCAGAATACAACCATTTACCTGCTGTATCTTATTTCAGGATAAAGTCCCCATTTAAAAAAGATGCATGAAGGTATATCAGTGTTGGAAATCTGGTTTTCATATTACAAGTGTATTATAGTGGCACTACACAAAACTAAAGATAATTCAAGATAAAACCCAGTTTTTAGAGACCACACCAAACTAGCCTGTTATTCTGATCATTACTTCTTGGAAAATAGTTTCCTAGAGTTGTGGACCCAAAGCTATTCTGTTTGCAGTATAATGTTCGCACAAACACTTCTACAATTGCTGCTGATGTCATTTTGAACCAGAGTAATAAATATCAACATTGCCTGACTGATCTATTATGTTTTTAAAACTGGTGGATTCAGGTATGGATGCATTCAAGGTAGGTCTTCATGCTGCATCCACACCCCGTTTTGGAAAGAAAGTTAACACTATGGCTTAAATGGAGCTCACAGCAACACCTGCATTGTTTGGTGCAATAAACACTTAAAATATACAAACAAAGTTATTTTATTAGTTTTAGGTTCTTGAATGTATGTCTGCTTCTGTCTCCTTGAACCCTAGTCGGTCTCGGCATATGCCTGCTCTCACTGAGTCTGGTTCTGCTGAAGGTGTCTTCCTGTAAAAAGCGAGTTTTCCTATCCACTGTCGCTACAAGCATTCTTGGTGTTAATAATTGCCTTGGAGTCAGTGGGTGCATTCGAATTCCTGGGCTGCGTCTTCCAATCGAAGTCCATGAAAATAAGGAGACTGAAAGAGTTTTGGCTGTGAGTTCAAACAGGTCTAACCCTCTGCGGC